GGGGTTGGCCAATATGGTGTTCATATTTTTCTTGTTGCTTTTTAGAGACTAATTATGGTTTCAGAATTTCTGAGTTTTATTACAAGATAAGATTTGAAGGTTCCCATCGAGCTTAGCAGTTTTTAAAGAAGTCGAGGAAATTATATCGACTCCATCTCTTAATTCTGGGTATGAAGGGGATGGATTACGTATACTTTTTGGGTCACTGGAGTTATCAAAAGATGATTTGGATCAGCTATTGAAGAAGCAGGAAAAAAAGTATCTTTTTATTTAGAAAGCTGCTTTTTTTGTAGTCATTAAAAGCTTGAATTATGTGTTGTACAGATCAGTTAAACAAATTCGGTCGAAACTAAAGAAGAAGCTTGCTGCCTACGGGATGGATATTGAAGAGGTCAGCAAAGATGATTTGTTGCAGGTAAATGAGTTCTCTAAGAAGCCACGAAAGAGACCGCATAGTATTAGTGATTTATCCAAAGATTAATTGGAAGCTTTATTTTATTTTATTTTACTTTGTTTAATTTAATTTAATTTATTTACTTGTTTGTTTATTTTTTGGGCTTTTGTTGTTAATGAAAAACCGTGGTTATAGTTGTTGTTATTAGTTAAATTCTGTATGTATAATAGAGTGGTATTGCCAGAATTCCAGTTTTTTATTTTTGTGTTGTAGTTTGTCATGCCATATAAAAGTCGCTAACTGGTAACAAAAAGCTCTTTGAAAGTGATTTAAGGCAGAATTGAATAAAATTTTTTTACCGTTCTACGAAATTTGATACAGGTATATGTTTGTAAACTGCATATTTCTGTTGCTATATTTAGCAGTAGGACTGCAAAGTTTCGCCTAATTCTTTTAGAATTTGGCTATTACTTTCATTTTTTTGCTTATCTGTTTAACTTTTGAGGTCGTGGAGGCGCAGTAACCTTAGCTGAAGCTCTTTTTATGTCCTAGAAACATGACTGACGCTTTAGGTTACAGTAGTGTTGTTAGTCGTCTCCTGGCCGGTGCTATTTCCTGGGTAAGGATTTCTTGAAATTTTGCTTGTATGCTTGCTTCAGTTTGTAATGAGTTGATTTGCATTATTTTAGGGGGGCTTACATATTCTTTTGGAAAGTATGCTTGCTGGTGCTCTCGTATACGTAATTATGCTTTGGACCAAACAAAAGGAGCGTAATCTACTTCTGGTTAAACGGGTGTGGTTATCTTAAAATGTGATTTGCAGTTTTTTTAAAAAAAAAAAATTTGGGTTTGTATTGTGGTGGTTTCGTAACCTGCATATTGCTTGCTCATGATTTTTAGCAACTCGAAAGCTGGAAACCGGAACCTCTAGTAGCTCCAACACCAGATGACCATCCAGCATTAAATCCCAAATATGTTGAGGGGTAATATATTTGTTTTTCTTTCAAAGGAATTCTGTTATTTTTCTATTTAGAATTTATGTTACAGTGATATTAGTACCAAAAATTTTTCAAAGACTCAGGGAATTCCTGAAACTGATAGGTGAACACGAATGGTATGTCTTTTTTCGCTGTTGTGCTCATTACTCTTGTTCCTCAGGAAAATGGGAAAATACTTGTCAATCGAGGGCAAAAAATATTTGAACCTGGCTACATCAAATTTTCTTGGACTGGTAGGAGATGAGAGGATAGAGGTAACTTAGTTTGTCGATTATTTTTTGATATCAATCCTTCTCTTTCTTTTTTATTATAGAAAGTAGCGAAGCAAACGATTTTCAAATATGGAGTTGGGTCATGTGGACCACGTGGTTTCTACGGGACAGTTGATGTTCATTTGAGTCTGGAAAAGCAAATTGCTGAATTTTTAAAATGCGAAGAAGCTGTGTTGTACAGCTATGGGTTTGCCACTGTAGCTAGCGCAATTCCTGCTTATGCTAAACGTGGCGATGTAATATTTGCTGATAAAGGTAACAATTTCAAAATTTTGACACGAGCAAGACATCCTTCATTTAGGGTTGGCGATAAGAAACATTGGCTGCCTCCATCGGTAGATAAAATAATTACAAAATAAGGAAATAGTATTTAAACTTTCTTATCTTGCAGCTAAAGTTGAGCTTGCGATAGTGTAACTAAATTTGAAATTGGCATAGAGTTCTTTCTCGGATTGCTTTTCTGACATAGACATTAATGGTATATTAAGCCTCAAGACTGTTTTTCGCATAGCGGTTCTTAATATTTTGGTGCTCGTGGTAGGACACTCTAAACGTTTTAGAGTTTAACGGAGAAGTTGTGATCTTGAGTTTGTCGGTGGCAAGAGAAAGAGGCTTTACAAATTTTTTTAGGTGTGAATTTTGCCATTCAAAAGGGATTGCAAGCTTCGCGGAGCAACATTGTTTGGTTTGAACATAATGATACCCACGATTTAGAAAGATTGCTCATGGAACAAGCTGAGTGGGATAAAAAGGTTTGTAAACTGGTTTCTGACGGAACTTGTGAACTTATGTCGTAAAATTTTTCAGACTACTTGACCGCGTTTTTTACTGTGGGGTGTTTTTTGGGAACCGGGTTGCTTTCTGTCTAAGGTGTAGAGAAAGGGAGGGTTAGGCATTCTGGGTTTCTACGAAAAAGGAGGTGTTTTTTACAGAGCTAGGGACTTCTTCCTATCTGTTCTCTTCTCCATTTCGTTGGAGTTGGAACCCGAGATTGGCGGTGATGAGTCTCACTGAGGACAGTGAGTTTTGAAGATTTTTGTAGGAAAATATTTTTTCTTGGATTGAGTGTAAACGGATTTCAACATTTTTTTCACATTCCTGCAAAGCTCCCAATGTGTTTGTCTGGCTTTTTTAGTTCAGAAGGCTGTCGAAGAACGGGGTGACGTCTATGGCCCCTACTCTAGTAAGCAAAGATCAGGAAGAATATTTTTCTTAAGCTTTGATGTTAGCTTATGGCGGTCCACTAGAACAATCATCACAAGTAAAAAACGTTACATTCATGCCTAGGGTTTACGCTTCAGCTTGGGCTTAGGTTCTAAGTTAAGCGTAAGTCAGGCTTAGCTTGGAGGTTGAGCCTGAGTTACGCCAAGTTAAGCTCAGGTGGATTGTTAGGCCCAAGTTTGATCACGTTAGGTTTAGGTGGATGGTTGAGCCTGAGGTGGATTAGATTGGACTTAAACCGAAAGTTCAGCCTGAGTTAAGCTGGATTGGGCTTGGCCCAAATTTAAGTCTGAGTTAGATGGGGTTAGGTGGGAGGTTTAGCGTAAGGTAGACTAGATTGGGCTTAGGTTTTTAGGCTCGAGCTTGGGTTAGACTGAGTCAAGCCGAAGTTTGAGCTTAAGCCTAGGTGAGGCTAAGTTATCCTTACGCGTCGTCGGTATGCAGTAAAGTTAAAAATTTTGCTTTATTTTGAGAAGACTTGTCAGCTGTATTGAAAAGGTGTGAATAAATTTTTCACAGAATAATAAAGTTTTTGCCGTATGCGTACTTAACCGAGTAAGCGATAATATATGCTCTTTCCAATTTTCTGTAGAGGATACTTTATCTGTAGGTATTCAGGAATTTTAGAAATATAAGATTAAATAGTTAGAGAATTACGACACCGTTATTTTGCAACCATTAAATTTTAGTAACAGTTACAGTTTAGGAACGATTTTCTTTGGTAAGACGGTGCCGAACTGGAACTGAAAGTTTCATGATCTTTTTTGTTTCCTCTTTAGTGTTAGGAAGGCTGATAACTTTCTTAAAAACAAAATAATACGTGTCGGTCTTGATCCCCTTTACCCACAAAAGATTTTCTTCTCTCGTTTTCATCTCTCAAGGCCGGGCATTCCTTGTTCTGTTCAAATAAAAAATCGACATGAATAAGTCTTTAAATCCTAGTTTTATTCAAAGCGTGTAGGCAGAGCGGAATGCTGACGAGCGGTAAAAAATATTTGTACTTTTTTCTGGTTTCGTTTATTAATCCTCTTCGGAAGTTTTTTCTGCTTACTTTCCAGCTCACAAACCAGGTGGTTACTTTTTTATTCTGCTTGCTCAGTTATTAAGACGTAATGAAGGCGAGTAAATATTTGCTTCACAGAATCCAAAAAAGGCTGCCGTGACTCGTCGTTTCTTGGTAGTAGAAGGACTGTACGTAAATAGCGGTGATCTTTGTCCTCTGCCTGAACTCTTGGAGCTGAAATGGAAATACAAGGTTCGAATATTCATTGATGAATCAGTTTCTTTCGGGACAATTGGAGCGACTGGTCGTGGTAAGGAACTACAAATTTTTTAAGTTTATTACGAGATTTTCTTTTAAATTTTGGTTCTTCAATTTTATTGTACGTTTATTTCTTGAAAAAATCTCAGTGTTGCTTGCAGTAAGTGCATAATTTTATTTTCTTGCGTAAGCTGTATTAGTTCTATCTTCTGTTTCTAAAAGTATTGATTTTTAAAAAAATTATTTTTTTTGTTGTAGTGAGTTTTTTATTGATTCATATTTTTAAAAGATAACAAGAACTAATTCACCCTGTTTCTTAGCTGGACCTTGCAGGTGTAACGGAACATTTTAAAGTAGATATTATTGATGTCGACATGATAATGGCTTACTTAGAGAATGCAGTAGCGAGCACTGGTGGCTTTTGTGCTGGCCGTTCTTATGTTGTTGGGCATCAAAGACTTTCTGGTAAGAAAATTACTGATTTTTTTTTGGAAAGAACGTAGAAGCCGTATTGTTGGTGGCTTTAAACAAGAGGTGGGATTAAATGAGTTGAGTTTGTCTTCTCCTTATATTCACTTTCTTTTTTTAACTCTTTAACATTTTGACCTGTTGGTCTATAAGTAAGTCGCAAAGTTAAATGAGGAGAGTGCCGTAACGGTTAGTTTAGAATATTGGTTTGAGATTGGGATTTAAGCAGTTTTTAATGTGGTTGTTGTTACTCATTAATATTTTTAAGGACTTGGGTACTGCTTTTCGGCTTCACTGCCGCCTCTCCTTGCAACCGCTGCAAGTAAGCAAATTCATCTTCAATCTGTCATATCGTTCTAGGTCGCAGGTGTCTGCAACTACTTGTTTCATATTGATTTTTAATTTGAATAATTTTTGGAATTTCCAGTGGGATACAAAGACGGAAAAGGAAGGAGTGTTGTATTATGGAATGAAATTTAAATTATTATGCTGATTTCTAATTTTAATAATGACCGGTTATAGTGGACATTCAAAGTGAACTTTGAA